AATTCGCGAAGCCCCATATCCATAATCGCCCTCATAGAGTCCGCAAAGGCGATCCAGAACCTGCCCGAGATATGTCGCGCGTCGCCCTACTTGTCTGGCCTCGTCTTTGCCGCAGAGGACTTTGCCCTCGACCTCTCGCTCACGCGCACACCCTCCCTCACCGAGTTCCTGTACGCGAGAAGCGCCATTGCGACGGCAGCGAGAGCGGCTGAGCTTCCTTCGACTATTGATTTGGTGTGTACGGCGTACAAGGGAGAGGACGGGCTCAAGACACTGGAGGACGAGTGTTTGAACGGGAAGGGCATGGGGTTCAATGGGAAGCAGTGTATACACCCAAGCCAGATCGACGTTTGTCACAGGGCATTCTCGCCTGGAGAGAAAGAGGTCGAGTGGGCGGCCAGAGTCGTCATAGGAGATGAGAAGGCAGAGCGCGCGGGAAGAGGCGCGTGGACGCTGGATGGGAAGATGATCGATAAGCCAGTCGTGGGAAAGAGCAAGGCTGTTCTCGCGAGGGCGGAAGCTTGCGAAGTTGACGTGGCAGCCATCAGGGAGAAGTGGAAGGACCAGGAGCCGGAGTAGTTCATGTGTGAGCCAAATATATTGTACACATGTACCAAAACATACATAGCATCCCTATCTATATCGTGATCATGACACTCGCGTTCTTGTACCAGCCCAGAAGCGGATTCTCGCCGTTCTTCGTCTGCGTCTCTGTAATGTCTGCGCGGCCCAACATGAAGTCTTCATGCGAGTAGGTGCGCGAGAAACGGCCGGTGATGGCGGTGTACAATGGTTCTACGACGCCAAAGTCGGTCGGGAAGAGGATATCGAAATAGCCTTGGTGGACCTGATGCAACGAATTAGCTTAGATACCGGTGCTGACCTGTAGTGGGCCTTACAAGTGGAGTTGAGACAGGTATCATCTGCCTCTTGAATCTTGTTTGTACCACTGGCGCGTTGATTCCCTCGACAGTGTCGCTCAACTTGTTGAAGTCGCTCGATATCAACTTGTGGCGCGGAAAGTAATGGTACAGCACGTAGAAAAACTGCATCAAGCGTGTGGGTATATATTCCGGAATGCTTAGGGACCCTTGAAGGGGAAAGAGCGATCGCATGTTCTGCATTAGCGAAGAGGCTTGGAGGGGATGCGGATAATCGCGACAGGAAGCGTCGCGCCTCTCCAAGAATTGTTGCACCACCGGATCCAGTTCGCGGGAATAGTATTCAAACAATTCCCCGCGCGAATCAATGACCACGCGTGACTGAAAGGGTTCCGCAGTCGTCATGTCGTACTTCAAGGCGTCGTGGGCGAAGTTGTCGAATACCTCGAGCGCGAGAAAGTAGCATGGCGAGGAGACATACGTGTTCCAGTCGAATATGGAACGATTTACAATATCGACCTTGCCTGAATGACCGCGAGCGTAGGTCGAGTGCCCGAGCCCTTGCTGCTGGAGCGTGGCCAGCGCATCCGATATTTCGATGATCTTGAACTTTGTCCGTTCGTAAACCTCCGGGTGCACGTCTCTTATGTAGTCTAAAATGTTCAACATCATGGTGCCGTTCCCTGCGCCCATCTCGTAGATGTTCAAATCATGGTATGGGTAGTAGTTGAGCATGTAGTCCTGGACGAGGTAGCGTGCGATCGCTTCACCATAGTAGGGCGAGAAGAGCTCGGTCGGCGTATGCCAAAGCTGGCGAAGATCATTCGGTTCCTGCGTGTCCAAAGCGTCTTCGAAATCGCTGTAGCGACGACTCAATTGTTGGTGGAATTCGTGCTCGGATTGCATGGCGTTGAAATCGAACGGCTCGCCAGGGGAGAAGATGACGACTTGCTTGGAGAAGTAGCCATAGTGTGGATTATATAGACTGTCTTGGTGGGAGTTAGAATATCAAGCACACACGACGATTCATGGGGCGAGACCAACCGTCGATAAAGTCGCGCAACAGCATCTTGACTCTCCTCGGCCGCTCTTTTCTACCTTGAAGCATGTCCGCTGTCACCGTGGGATATCGATCGAATTCTTCTGCTCTTTCGAATGGAAATCTGTGTACACGCGGTGTCCAATTGCTCTCCCTACTCGTCTCGCCTTCCCTGTACCGCGTCGCCAGTCCTCGTCGATGGATGTACGCATGGCGGGCAGATGCGACGATGGGTCGAGCTCTCTGAGCGACGCATTGTGACGCTCGGTAGGAGAACAATTGTCGAAAGAGTTGCGTGACGAGTGGCGAGTCCATTGAGCTTTCGACACTCGACCTACGCCGGGGGTTTGCCGATGATGGAGGCTCGCGCGTGGTGGAGGTGCAGGAGCGCCAGTCCGCCAAGCCCATTTTAGAGAGTCAAAGCTCCCTAACTGGAGCTCTCCCATCGACACCAATTTTGCTTGGCTACTTCGACATGGCCGACAATGCTCGTTATTTTACTATAGGGGCATTTCTACTTGGAATAGCTGCAACAACAGCGTATCAGACCCAAATCACGAAAGCAAAAGCAAAAGCACAAAAGGATGAACGAATCAGGCAACGGCGCCAGCAAAATCTACTCCATTTCTCGAAGAGTGCCGATTTAGACGAGGCCAAAAGGGCTCTTGGAGAATTACCCAATGTGATCGAGTCGCAAGGCCCGGGTGAAGAGGATATCAAGGAGGGCATTGAAGGCTGCATCGGCAACACGCCTCTCATCAGAATCAAATCTCTCTCGGACGCCACTGGTTGCGAAATCCTCGCAAAGGCCGAATTCATCAATGGCGCAGGAAATAGCCCAAAGGACAGGGTAGCGCTAAGCATCATAGAAACAGCTGAAGAACAAGGCCTCCTAGAACCTCATTCAGGAGATACCATCTACGAAGGCACTGTAGGAAGCACGGGAATCTCCTTGGCCGCGATATGTCGGGCGCGTGGGTATAAAGCTCACATTTGCATGCCGGACGACATGGCCGTCGAGAAGTCCGACCTACTCCTCAAGCTTGGTGCAGAAGTAGAAAGGGTCCGGCCAGCTCCGATCGTCGACCAGAACCAGTTTGTAAATTTAGCACGTTCAAGGGCAAAAGAGCATACAGACGACCCTGATAAGCCTGGGAGAGGTCTCTTTGCAGACCAGTTCGAGACTGAAGCAAATTGGCGAGCGCATTTCACGAGTACGGGACCTGAGATCTATCGCCAGACTGGTGGACGTCTTGACGCTTTTGTCAGCGGCGCGGGGACAGGTGGCACAATATCAGGTGTGTCATTGTTCTTGAAGCAACTGCTCCCGGAAGTCCAAATCGTCCTCGCGGACCCCCCTGGAAGTGGTCTTTACAATCGTGTCAAGTATGGGGTCATGTTCGATCCCAAGGAGAAAGAAGGCACTCGCCGGAGGCACCAGGTCGATACGGTTGTAGAAGGCATTGGTATCAACCGAATCACCCACAATTTTGATGTTGGGAGGGAATTGATCAATGATGCGATCAGAGTGACAGACGACCAAGCCATGTCGATGGCGAGGTGGCTGGTCGAGAACGACGGAATCTTTGTCGGCAGCAGCAGTGCCGTGAACTGTAAGCTATTCCACGAGTTGTGTATAAATCTAACGAATGTAGGTGTTGCGGCAGCACAACTCGCGAAGCAGCTTGGTCCAGGTCACCGCATCGTCACTCTTCTCTGCGACAGTGGCGCAAGACACCTTAGCAAATTCTGGGCAAAGACCGAACCAGTTGGAGGCGGCAAGGAGCGGCTGTCGCTAGATCAGATACTACCTGACGCAGACAAGCGTCCATCACTCGGCGGGCGTGGTACGTAATCGCTGGCAGTGAATGCAACTTGAACTGACTGGAGACATTAGTACTTGGATGAATCCAGATCAAGCGCATCCGGCGGACTCACATAGCACGTATCTGTGGCTCGTTACAGCTACTCCTCGAACGGAACTGAGGCAGCAGAACAGCGACGGCCATCACATTGTGCAGAATACCACGACCGGATCTTCCCTCCAAACAAAAAAAAAGCGCCTCTTCGACATTCTAAATTTGTCTGAAACACTAGCGAAGAACAAAGACACATCGAGACATTGCCATTGTAAAACATCATCGTTGTGTGTTTGTCTTTTGTATATAGGCCAGAGAACGCCGGAACCTTGCTGGACTGCGAGCACCCGTCCCAACTGCGTGCCATCAAAATTGTTTAACGATTATTTGCCAACAAACGCACACCAAACATCACAAATAAAATGGCGCCTTTAACGCGAAATCCGGAACTTGCCAAGAAGATTGAGCAAATGCGCCTCTCCATCGCTCCAATAGTCCACATTGAAACCGGCATAGCGCCCCCCGAATTTCCCTCTACCATGCTGGAGTTGTTCCTCCTGAGCGAAGAGCAATTGGACAGGATGGCAAATTATTACTCGCAAATTACACCAAATCATTTGACATTCCAATACCCGCAAACGATGGACTGGAGCCGCCCATTTCTTAACAAGCCACGCGATGGCGAGCAGGTTGAAGATGGCTGTGGTTTCTCAGACTACGAAAGACTAAGGACAAAGATGAGAATGTTTGCAAATTTTATCGGCATGAAGGGCGCCGAAACTCCGCGCTGGGAGTACGAGCGAACGGTGGAAATTCTTAGAAATAGGATCGAAAAGCAGATGGAAGAGGAGGAACGCAGTGTACCGAGGAAGTTGTATAGCGGGCCATCCGCATCGTCGTAGAGGGGGATTTAAAACCATCTGTAGCATCAGCATCAGCATCATAGCGTTAACTAGTTCATTGCCAGTTGTGCAAAATTCGGCGCTGAAGTGGTTCTATGACGGCTCACAGGAAATTGCAGTGAGTGCAAAGTAGAAACCTTAGTAAATATTTCAAAAATTCAAAGCCCATTGATACGACGTCCAAATTTTTCGCATGCGTTAAGTGTTGTGCCAGAGTCGTGCAAAATACTACGTGGTCGGTCGGCTATACCCTCTAACGTTATGCCTAAAAAGGAAAACACAGTGAATTCGAAAACCAAAAAATGCAAAAACGTGTGCATAGTCCTGGCGGGACTCGAACCCGCGGCATCCGCATTACCAGAATGAGGTCATATGAATCTGACGAGCCATATAAGAACGGCGCGCTACCACTGCGCCACAGGACTGGTCTCGATGCACGAAACACAGACTTTAAGAAATTTTCCGGGATTGTAAATATATATAGTAGAGCATTGTTTGCGCAGACAGATCACGTCCTGTGGGCCGCCATGGCCGAGTGTCAGGCAGCATCTGCAACCCGCTGCACGGAAGGGGCTGAGTTATGAATCATTTGTGGCATGTACCCCGCTTGTTCCCATCAGGTGGCGGGGAGGGGCTGGGATCCGACGTCCCGGCCGACTAGTACCTAAGCACACGACTGCATACAACCACATCGTCTCACTTCTATTCACTACAACTCGAGCTTTGCATCAACGCATACATTTCTGGACAAATTGCAAAGGTGAAGGCCTTGCTTCACGCTCGACTCTCACTTGCAATAAGGCGATTACACGATAAAGGTACGACCGCGCTTTCCCTCCTCAGCATGGACCTTCTCCATCTCAGCGTCACATCTACACCCCTCTCCTTAATTGCTTTCAAAGAATCCCTTGCCATCCGCCAAGATGTATGCCTCAGATCTATTCAATTGCAATGGTACAAACCCAGTTCTGACCTACACAACAGGCACGTCGTCCTCTCCTACGCCGTGTGCGTCGTGGCAGCTCGATTCAACCTCATGACTATTCGAGCCACCAAGTTTACACCCGAAGTCCTCCTGAGCGCCCCGCGTCGGTCTTCGGGTGTACCCAACTCCGACGCCTCCAAAGTTCTCTACAGTGTGTCGACCTACTCATTCTCGGATCATGCCAAGAAGAGCGAGATTCGCCTCCTCGATGTTGAGAGTCAGCAGACCAGCTTGATTTCGGATGTAAGCTATTCCGTTCGATGAGGTGGATGCCTCTGGTCATGTGACTGTAGCTTTGTACATCAGTCTGTGATGCTGATGCACCTTCATTTTCCCCAGCGTCTGTGCGCAAAGCTGAGACTGTGTCTTTGCTAGGATCCGGGCGCGTACTCTCCTACATGGCTGGGTGACGAAGCGATACTGCTCCTTTTCGTGAGCGACAACGGTAACACCACCGTCAAGGTCGGCAACGTGAGCGATTGTACGACAACCCTAGCACAAAATGACTGCTTCTGCCTGCAGCCCTTTGAAAGACTGCGCTAATTCGGCCTTTAGTCAAGAATAGTAGCTACACGGCCGGTATCATCCCTGGTCCTGTTGGTGACCTGAAAGTGGTGAGTACATGCGTCTGTGGCGGAGAATATATGCTCACTCAGGCCATCGTAGCACAGCATCAACGGCACTGACGACTTCGCGCTCGCGGTTTCCGCAAAAGCCACCCCAGATGGCGACCTATTTAATCCAGAGAAAGCGAAGAAGCCTCTCAGCAGTGGACGTCTCTATAATTCCATGTTCGTCCGCCACTGGGATCACTACGTTACCAAAAACCGCAATACCATTTTCCTTGGCAGGCTATCACGGTCCAACGTCTGGGATGGCAAGATGGAGTTGAGTGCGTTGACAAATGCGCTGAATGGCACAGGTCTTGAGTCTCCGATCGAGCCGTTTGGAGGTACAGATCATTTCGACATTAGTAGCAGTGGGCTAGTCTTTACTGCAAAAGACCCAGACCTCGACCCTGCACTTCACACAAAGACCAACATCTATCTGATCGCCAAGCAATGCCTTCCCGAAGACTGTATGTGGAGTAATCTACAAGCTCTTCCTGAGTTGCAAAAGGTAGAGATCTATGGGTTCGACGGGGCAAGCACTAGCCCGGTGTTTTCTCCCGATGGAAAGCAGATTGCATTCTTGTCAATGAAGACAGACGGCTACGAATCAGATAAGAACCAGATATTCTATATTCCGGACATCAACACATCGTCATGGGTTGTCCACGCGTTCCCTTCGGATGACGGCAAGGGAGATTGGGACCACAGCCCGTCAAGCATCATCTGGAGCCCTGACGCACAGGTCCTCTACTTTGTTGCCGAAGATTGGGGTCGACATTGCCTCTACGCCTCAACTTTCACTTCAGGACTGCCAGGCCTTACGGAGCCGCAGATGGTTGTCAAGGGAGGCACAGTGTCAACCGTATCGCCGCTCAAGAATGGTGACCTTTTCATATCATCGAATAGCCTCATTGACAATAGCGTGTAAGCCTCCAATTTTCGTCTTGAAGCGCATGACACTGACAATAGGTTTTCCTGGCTAGGTATTCTCTTTTGCCTGTCTCGACTCGAGGGGACGGGTTCATTTATTCAACTCCATGTGGATGCTCCAACAGCATCAAGCAGACACGCTACATCTCGTCGAATTCGAAGCACGGTACTAGCTTTGGGCTGAAGCGATCACAAGTCAGTGACGTCTGGTGGCCGGGTGCAACCGATGGCGTCGAAGTCAATGCGTGGATCATGAAGCCAAGCTACTTCAACAAGAATGACACCTATCCGCTCGCGTATCTCATCCATGGTGGGCCTCAGGGATCCTGGGGTGATAGCTGGTCGACCAGGTGGAACCCGGCTGTCTTCGCCGAGCAAGGTTATGTCGTCGTCTGTCCCAATCCAACTGGGTCAACGGGATACGGACAAGACTTTACCGATGCAATTCAGGGCCAATGGGGAGGCCTCCCGTACCAGGATCTTGTTCGGGGCTTCGATTGGATCAAGGAGAACTTGTCCTACGTTGACACAGATCGCGCAGTCGCCCTTGGTGCGTCTTACGGAGGCTACATGATGAACTGGATCCAAGGACATCCTCTAGGTCGTAAATTCAAGGCTCTTGTCACTCACGATGGCGTGTTTAGCATGACGGGACAGATGGCCTCCGAAGAGCTGTACTTTCCATTCCATGATCTGAAGGGTACTTTATGGTGAGTGGTTTGACAAACTGGCAAGACAGATGCGGAACCCGATCCTGACATCTAGCGCAGGGACGCACCCCAGAATTGGGCTGAGTGGGATCCCTCGAGGTACACCAAGAACTGGGCTACGCCACACCTGATTATTCATTCTGAGCTTGGTAAGTCTCTTTCTGTAGAAGCCGTATGCTCCAAATCGAGAGGTCTCGTCCCGATACCAAGTACATCTGTGGATGTCGGCTTGGTTCTTGTAGACCATCGTACTGACTTTCTGTTCTAGACTACCGACTCACAATCAGCGAAGGTCTGTCTGCCTTTAACGTTCTTCAGTCTAGAGGTGTCGAGAGCCAGTTCCTTACGTTCCCGGATGAAAATCACTGGATTCTGAAGCCCGAGAATTCGATGCTCTGGCACGAGACCGTTCTCGATTTCATCAACCAGAAAGTCGGCCTCCCAAAGTACTCGGATATGCGCAACAAGACAGTGGAGGAACCATATCATCATGTGGGAGCCCTTGCATCAGGTATTGCCGCCGTCAACATGGGGAGGACAGGAAATACCGAGCAGGAGTGCAGGCTCTGTATACCTAGCTCGAAATCTTGGAAACGGTAGTGCCACAGCGCGATTAATTGATGGAGGTTAAAAAGGAACTACAAGCATTGAATAGCTTTAGGTGCAAAGAAATAAAATTCTGCTCGTTATAATTAAGATATGAGAGATAAAAATGTGTCCGAAAAGGAAACCCTAAGGGTAAAAAAAAGCCTACTACCTTAGATTACAATGGACCGTATCTTCCTTCCTATAGTAGGATTATAGATGCGAAGTCAGGCTAGGTTAGGAAGTAATAATATAGTATAACAAGGTATTTACTACTATACCTCTCTCTCTAAGGTTCTTCTCAACTAAGATTAGATGGATTTTATAAAAAAAAAAAAGAAACAAAAGGGTAGAAACGGCGCCAGGTACTAGATAGATGCCCCAGCCAACGCATCGTATGCTGATGTCCTCCAAGTCTGGATCCTCTGAGAGGATATGAGACCCCGATTGACACCCCGCTACCATTGCGCCGTTCCGTCCTTGATAAAGATTTATCAAGGAGAATAGTTTCGTCGTCACCGACGTCGGTACTAAGTTCGCCCATGGCGAGCTTGAGTAGGTGAGAGCGGTCGGGGTCCGCCAATTCGTGCGAGTCCTAGTTGTTAGTGAAGGATATCACTGGCGAGAAGATATTTATCATACACTCGGCAGGTTTTAGGCAGCAGCGCAAACTCAAGGACCCTAGAGCCACGTGCGCGAAATCATTGCGACGATCGAAAAAGGCGCCAATTCCACAGGGTATATTATAACCTCAGACGGGCAGTAACGAGGGACCATCACAACCCCGGTCCAATCTCCTCCGAAAATACTGCATCATGCAGTCCTTATTCCCTCCCTAGTCAGGAACATACTCGTACAGCAAAACCAAAGTCCAGCGGCGGCGTCTAGACGTCATCTTCCCACGATCGCCGCACAAGTTCGAAAAAAACTCGAAGACCTCGAACCAAGAGACCCCTAATCCTCTGACCCATCCTCAGACAGGCCCGCAATAACGCCCTCAACGATCTCAATCAACCCATCCACATCCGGCCGCTCACTCGGCTCGACCCTCAGGCACTTCCTCACGACCTCCTTGACTGGATCACTGGCACTCTCTTCCTGCGGCTGCTTCTGCTTTCCGCGCTGCGGGCCCTCGTCCGGAAAGCGCCAGTCGCCGCCTAGCACACAGATACTGAGGCTGCCGCCCGTTTCATCGGAGCGCGCCTCGAAGGGGGATTTGCCGATCAAGCAGGCGTACAGCATGCAGCCGAGCGACCAGATGTCGACTTTGGTGTCGACGACGGAGCCGGTTTTTACGTCGAAGAGCTCGGGGGCACGGTATGGCATTGTCGAGTGCTCGCCGGCTGTGTCTTGGACTTGCAGGGCGAGAGAGCGTGATGTTATGGGCGTGGGCGATGGGGCGATGGAGCCAAGGTCCATGAGGATGGGGGTTTTGCCATCGTCGTCTATCATCACGTTACCTATGCACGTTAGAATCTTGATTGGTCGAGGAGAGGGAGTGGGGTGCGTACCGGGCTTGATATCGCGATGTGCGTATGCCCGCTCTGCGCCAGTGGCCACGCCCTCCTGCGCCAGTGTAATTTCGGCCTCCATGAGCGGCTCGG